TCATTATTTTTACCCCCCCACACCCCCCCCCCCCCCCTGATTCTTCATGTGTCTTTTTTTATTTTAAAATATCGCAATAAGTATCGTATCGTGAGATTTTGATATCGTTATATCCCTAGTTAGCTATTATGTGGCCAAATAACTGCTGTAACATTGTATCTATATAACGTAGTTCACAGAAATCAATTAACACCAAATCAGACGAGTTGAGTGTGCAGTAGTTTTGCTAAAATTCAGGATGACACACTGACTGCATACATTTTAAATATTTTAAATTCATATTGTAAGTTTTAAAATAATATTGCCTACCATTAAATTAATTTAGAAAATATTATTTTCAAAGTAATGTCAGGATATGCTAAGTTTGTTCTACTGTAAATGTACGGATGAAATCACTGATCACAGAGCATTACGTGATATGAATGAAATCAATACAAGTTTCGAACTCATTTTGGCTGCTGCTTCCAAAAATAGTGTCTGCTTTGCTGTTTCACGTCACACTTTCTTTCTAAATACGATGCGTTTCGTAGCATTTTCGTAGCAGAAAAACACCACAAACACACGATTCCGGTCCGAATCTGAGCCACATTACATCGACTTCTCAGCCTATTTTCACACGTGTGACATTAGTTGATGCCTGATCCTGATTTCTTGATCAGAATTATGATCAGAGGCAGGAGAGAATGCAAATATGAGCAGATGTTCCCTCCTTTTCTGCATCCAAACAGAGACAGAAATTCACAGCTGGTTAAAAAAAAGCTTATATATGTGTCCCTGCAGCACAGAAGCAGTGTTGAGTCGCTGGGGGATATTTGTAGCAATAGCCAACAATACATTGTATGGGTCACAATTATACATTTCTCTTTTATGCCAAAAATCATTAGGATATTAAGTAAAGATCATGTTCCATGAAGATATTTAGTAAATCTCCTACCGTAAATATATCAAAACTTAATGTTTGATTAGTAATATGCATTGCTAAGAACTTCATCTGAACAACTTTAAAGATGATTTTCTCAATATTTAGATTTTTTTGCTCCCTCAGATTCCAGATTTTCAAATATTGTCCGATCCTAACAAACCATACATCAATGGAGAGATTATTATTCAGCTTTCAGATGATGCATACATCTCAATTTCGAAAAAAATGGACCCTTATGACTGGTTTTGTGCTCCAGGATCACATTTACAAACTTTATGTAACGTTTATGTAAAGTTATTTTTCCAATCCTTTGCGGACTGTAAGATAAATTATGCATTTTGAACACTTCTTTGTGTCATTAAAACCAATATTTTGACATTTGACTGCTTTAGTCATTTTGATAAGTGCATTAAAGCATGCATAACATTTGAAAAATCTTGATTCTTATTTTGTTAAAAAAACACTGATGGATTTTTTTATTGATCTTTTTGACTCAATTAGATTTTTATTTTTAACTCAAACTCCTATGTGCCTTGAATTCATTCATTTTTTTCACTTATCTCCATACAGATTCACACTTATTCAATTCCATAACGCTGTTAATTAATAATGATTTCCTGAAGATCATGTTGACTGAATGCATGAGTCTGTCCTCTGTGTGGCCTGTGAATGTTGCTCACACAGGTGCATCATGGTCCGTGTGCGGTGTGCGTTTACCTGCATGTACTTGTCTTTGATCTGCTCACACGTGGAGATGCAGTTGGAGATGTAGAGATGGATGAACTCAGGAGGAAGATCCACCGCTGTGGTTAATCTACAGATTAAAGAACAAACATCTTCAGAGCTCAGGGCACACGATCCTGTTCACCTGCACTGAAATAAACCCGACGAGAAGGACGGCGCACCTGTTGACCACCTCCATGGAGTGCAGCGACATGTCCATGTTGACCAGGACAGAGAAATACTCCGTGATCTGGCTGGAGGACATCAGCTTCAGGAGCATCTCGATGGCCACCAGAGGGTTGTTCTCAACCAGGTCCGGTAGTTTGGCTGGAGTCAGACCGATGTGATAAACCAGCTTTGGGTCCTTCTCCAGTTCACCTAGCAGCTGATGAGAGAGAGAGAGTTATCTTTGAGAAATCAAAGATTATACATTAAGTATTTATACATTGTTGCACTGACTTTCATTTATTACAGTTACATATGTATTACAGTAATGAATATCGTTTGGAATAAAATGTACACTACCATTGAAACGTTACAGGCGGGTAAGGTTTTTAATGTTTTTGCATTTATTTACACATACTGTATAGACTGCATTTATTTGATCAAAGTTAAATTAATCTCGTAATGTATATTTAACTAAATCTTTTATGAAGCAAGTTATGACAGCCACTGTGTAAATGATTATATTTCAACAACAAACAGAAATTGTAACCTATAATTATTGAGTGCAATTTACATGTTTGCATACAAGTTAGGGCTGGACGATATGGCCAAAATTTATATCACGATATATTTCTTAATTTCGGTCGATACGATATAATTCAGATATCGATATGAACACTATTAAAAAAGCCTCATAAAAACGGCCAAGAACGGCCACAACAGATGTCTGTACCTACAAACTTATGAAAAATGAATTTGCCAACTCTATGAAACCTACTCCTATAAAACTATATAATATTTTAGGGAAAAAATGGCGCAAATAAATAAATGTTCACCTTTTATTGGTATTTAGCCTTCATACAGACAAGAAATGTGAAATCCCTGTCAAATAAATCTCAGACTCTCCTTATTAACATTAATATTTCTTACTTCAAACTATAGGCTAACACACCAGTCAGAAGTTGTTGAACAGTAAGATTTTTAATGTTTTTTTAAAGAATTATCTTCTGCTCACCAAGCCTGCATTCATTTGATCAGAAATGCAGCAAAAACAGTAACATTTTGA